TCGAAAATCCGGCAAGCTTGAGTGTTGCCTGTTCACCCGGTAAGCATATTTTCATTAAGACCATGTTATTTTTCCTTTATTTAATTGCCTTTGTCATATTGAAGCGGAAGCCAAGTTCGATATACTGTCTTTATCGTGCTTAAAGCGATGCAGTGCACTTACGAAAGCTCCAATAGTTTGAAATTATATTTTGTCATTTTAGAATTCCTGCTAACTTTCAAGCAAGCAGTCACATGTACGCTGTCCGATGTGCAACAGATATTTGTCAAAGCCGAATATTCGTTGCCTGAGCGTATGGTTTTATAGTATCTACACTGTATTTGAGCCAAATACTGGGCAGATTTTCAGGCGTTGTGGCGTTGCTTCCGCTCATGCATCAATTATGCACGTATTTCTCAATGACAACGTTTTGTGGCCGGGCAACAGCTAATGTAGCACCCACTCGTCGTTACAAAGGTGCGGAGCATGTTTATGAATGGTCTGTTGTGACTTACTTAACTGGAACTGTTTCATTTCTCATTTTCCATATTTGTTTTAAAGATAGTATGAAACTTTCATCATGCCATGTCTCCTCTAAACAGACAGTCAGATTGACGTGGAAATTGGAGTGTTGTTCTCGACTTGTCAGCACAAGCTCCTAGACCATCTTCTATTTTTTTTTCTGAATGAAAAATTTAAGGAGCTTTCGTTAAAAAATTCGTTTAGAAAATTTATCAGTTGCAGCTTGCTTTGAACTTTTGATGTTTTTTCAGGTATGCCTAGTCTGCTTTTTCGTTCTTAACTCTAAATCATGCTTAATCCTGTCATATTTCCCCAGCAGTTAAATCAGTCGATATTCTAATTGCAGTATTTCTCATTTAACCCTTCTGAACGCAATTTAAATGATTTTTATCACCGTTTTTAGACCTTGTGGACATGTGCCTGACGTTCGCCACTGAGTCAAAGTCATTTTTTTCGGAGATTGGTGAGTGGTGTGCTTCATATTTTGTAATTTTGAAATTTTTTTCTCAATTCAAAAGTTAAGTATTTCCCATGATCTTACTGAAAATATGGGGTAATACATAGTTCATTTATTCATAACGCAAAATATACTGTGGTTAGTGCAGTGACTGACCAACAGTGACATTTTATCTTCTCTTTCACTGGTCTTCTTCAATGTAGGTTGGTGGTGAATTTTGTTACGAACTCTGTGCATGTTGAATGAGCCTCGTTGCCCCTGTCGCCCGAAAGCTTGCTTTCTGTATCCTAGGCTATCAACTGCTGCGGGCGACCAGCCACACTCATGAAACTTCACAATGAACCTACCTTGAAGAAATCCCGTGAGACACGGGCGAAACTTCGGTGTTGGTCAGTTACTGGATTAACTACAGCATCTTTTGCGCTGTGTATAAATAAATCGTGTTTTTCACCGTTTTTTGTATGATCACTAACGAATGAATAGCTCTATTTTAAATGACCTTCTTCAATCGGTTTCCAACATTTACCAAAAACCAATAATGGGATAAGATTGTAACGAAATGTATAGGTAGTAACAAGCTGTATTTTGCATATTTTCTGTATGTTGTAGTTTTACAGCCTTTTCTGTTTACTATGCGTATATTAAATATTGCGACAGTTAACTGCATTATCTGTAGCACTCTATTTTCAAGGGTGTTGGCAAGCGAATACTGCGAGTATAGGTTTGGGTTTAGGTATAGGTTTCGGCTGCTGTTAACCATAGGTCTAAGATTCTCAGTTATTATCGTGGAGGTTCTAATTAGACAGAGACTGTTCTCTTCTTGGTTGATGCCAATGATTGGCTACTGTCGTCGATGGAAGGCTTTAAGGTTGTTTTCGTCTAGCGCCTATCTGTAGTGTCAATAAAATGAAAATCCGTAGAATTCATCACCTGCGAAAATAAAGAAAACGAAAAGACAACGAAGTTTTATTTCGTTCGCTATCATCAAATAATGTACTTTCTTTCTGAAACACGTTAATATAATTTATCATACTGTAAAAATAAAATGCTTTTAGGCACCCTAACAGTATCTGAAAACTTGTTCAGAAAAACAGCCAGTGATATCGCTCGATTTTTTGACTTGTTTCAAACCCTTCTTGGAGCTATGACTGACTTGAATATCGATGAATTGGCAGAACTCTATGAGAAAGAAGTGAAAGTTCTTCATGCTGCTATTCAAGATGCCGCCTGCAAAGTGGAGGTATCATATATTTGATTTTCGTAGATCTTTTAGATAACTATTGAATGGCTGTTTCTAGGTAGGCTTTCAGTCAAATTAGCATAAGGACTAAAGACTATTACAATGTAATATTATTGATCTGCTGTTTTGCGACAGTTTTTTCAGCCAGTTTCTTCCACTGTAATTTGTAAACATATATGGTGTATGTAATGTAGCTCCTGACGGAGATGACAAAATAAATTCTCACCAATAGCATCATAGGCTATGTTAATAGCCTACAAAGGTTATTGCTTAATACGAACTCAATGCAAGATGCTCTCGTTTTATGCCATATAGTTGTGCTTGACTATTTGGTGTTATGTTACTTCATTTTATGTAGTGTAAACAAAATATGTTCCTTGTCACTATAAATATTATAACGTTCTTTTTGGTAAGTCACAAACGGGAAGAGCACGCATAAAGAAATCATGTATGATTTTTAACGTTCTTTTTATCAGAGAAGAATACATAATTTAAAAGCGTTTTAAAATTGAAAATACAGGAAATTTACAAACGGCGAGCGCTGTAAAAGAAAAGTATGAAGGTGTACAACAAACGTGAAAGGAACTGCTAAAGAATGTGGCGAAGGAGTTCTAATGGGTAGAAAGTGATAATTAGTGAAACGAAAGACGGGATGAAAGTTGTTCATAGTCTGCAAAGCAGTCATAGCGCCAATAGAACTAGCACCGTTATAAATGATTATGTATTGAAATTTAATTTATTAAATCAATTAATTTAATTGTCTGAACACCTGAATGCACATCGCATTGTCGTGATTAAAACACTACGTCGAACAACAGGCCAACGAATCACAGTGGTGCTGTCGCACGAACGGGCATTTAGTGAATTACTAATATTTGTCTTGATTGTGTTAGGTAATACTCGATCATCATTTGTTTCCTATAGGCTATGCTAATGAAAGAACGCGAAACTGGAAGCGGAGTCCGTTTGGAAGTGAACGAAAAAATCTTGGATTCATGCACGCAGTTGATTCAGGTATGATTCCTCAAAACAATGATTTACAATAATGATCAGAAAAAAATGACCAATGTTTTCACCCCATGCCAGAAAACGTAATTCAGACATTTAGAGCTTAATTTAAACGGATATACTGGGTCAAGCGAATCTCTACCGCGTTATTGTACAATTTTCGTTTCATGATTCCATGGCACAGGCACTGTGTGTGTCGACATCATTTAGGTTCAGGGTCAGTAGTGCATTGTTTAAACTTATGGTTTCCCTAGGGGGTAAGCGGATTAGTATTTTGCTAGGTATTTTTCCCTAACTGGTACTTTTTCTTTAATGAATAAGGACTAGTGAATAACTGACGAAATTCAGGTTGAATAGATCATGCGCTTATTAACGGACTCATGCGGAGGCCCATATAATTTTTAGGCAAGGTAGAAATGCACATCCGGCGAAGTGAGCAGTTTGATTGATTCGCTACCTTTTATTTCCCCTGCGCCTTGTTGTGTCAAGGAACGTAACTGGTTCTGAAATTCAGT